TTTTTTTTTTTTTTTTAAGTGGGCTTCACGCCCAGCATGGAACCCAATGCGGGGTTTGAACTCACGACCCTGAGGTCAAGACCTGAGCCAAGACCAAGAATTGGACACTTAACTGACTGGGCCACCCAGGCGCCCCTCACAGAGATTCTTTATATGTGCTTGTCCTCCATCCCTTCTTCCCTCCCTTCCTTCTTTCCTTTCTTCCTCCCTCCCTCCTTTCTTCCTCTCTCTCTCTCTCTGTCTCTCTTTGTCTCTCTCTCCAGACTGTGTATCTTATCCCAGGTTTCCTAGTCAACAGCCCTTGATGCAGGTCAAATAAACTAATCCTATACTGCAAACAAGAATGAGAGGGAAAGGCAGTTGTGGGAAACAGATAAAAAGGTGGTGTGACTAGGTTGATGAGGAAGTGAGGTTGGCTGCTGTTTTGGGCTGGTGTCTCCAGGAGACGGAGCCACTGTGTGTGGGCGGAGTCAGAGGTGGGCTGGGGAAGATGTGAACGGTCTCTCTCTCAGCTCCTTCCCATCTCCTGGCTCACTGTGGTCAGTTTGCCTCCCTGGAGGTCAGCTCCCCACATGTCCATGATGAGCTGCCTGGCCCCTCTTTGCGGCTGCTACAGAAACTCCCTGGGTCCCCTGGTGTAGGACCTGGCCGTGGTCACAAGGGTAGGTCATGCCACAAGCTGGCCCTTGCCCAAGAGGATGGTTGAGGTAAGCAGCCACACACCAGAAGATGAGGCAGTGGTGGCAGCTGGGACTTTACACTTGTGGGGACTGTAGGGACCCACATGGGGCTGCTGCTGTGAGAAATCAGGCACATGGTCACGGCCGGGGGGTGGGGGTGGGGCAGGGGAAGCTGGGCAGGTTTGAAAGGGAGCGTCATCTGGTCCACCAGTACACTGCCTTTAAGTTTTATCAACTTGTTTCCTTAAAAAGCTTTGCTCCCATTTAAGATTCTCTGCAATCTGCCAGCTCCTGGATCTCCTGAATAATGGGAATGGTTGGTGATGATGCTGTCAGCTCCCTATTTTTCACTGGAGTGTTCTGTCCAGGATCTATATTCTTGCTGCTCTGAGCAGCACTTTCCCTCTCTCCCTAGATTTCCTCCAGCATGCTGGGTCCAAGGAGAAGGTTTTATTTCATTTCCTCTAGTTACAAAAGTCCGTTCTTTACTAGAGTCTAGAATAAAATTCAGCCCTCATTGCGATGTCAGACACTTCATGTCTAATATCGTTAAACACTCCCTTAGCAGAGTAGCTCTGTATTTGCACAGTTACCCACTTTACATTCTCTGTCCTGTGAGCTACTCTTGCACTCCTAACTTATATGGAAAAACTCTTTTGATTTTTTGGCCCGCTTAAAATATCTAGATGTCATCTTTGAAAAATTCCTTGTGGACATTTTTGAACTAGAGACTACCATGAACATAACATCCATTCTTTCCTTTATTTATTTTCTGGCACCACCATGCCTCCAGTAGATATATAAGGAACCAGTTGTCAGATTGGGATTAATAGTATTAAAAGTAGAAATATTACAGGGCGTCTCAGTGGCTCAGTCAGTTAGGTATCTGCCTTTGACTTGGGTCATGGTCCCAGGGTCCTGGGATCGAGCCCCGAGTCGGGGCTCCCTGCTCAGTGGGGAGCCTGTTTCTCCCTCTCCCACTCCCCTTGCTTGTGTTCTCTCTCTCCCTCTCTCTCTCTGTCAAATAAATAAAATCTTAAAAAAGGTAGAAATATTACTGAAAATATGGGGTGCCTGGGCAGCTCAGTCGGTTAAGCGTCTGACTCTTGGTTTCAGCTCAGGTCATGTTCTCAGGGTCATAAGATCAAGCCCCGCATTGGGCTCCACGCTGAGCATGGAGTCTGCTTGAGTTTCCCACTCCCTCTCCCTCTGCCCCTCCCCTCTGCACTCTCTCTCAACTAAATGAATAAATCTTAAAAAAAGAAATATTACTAAAATAAAAGCTAAATTCAAATTTCTTGAAAAGCTTTCAAAGATACAATTTTCAGCTAGTATCGTGAGTGAAAATTCATTAATCTTGTCTTAAAGTAGGCATGTTGACATGTCACAGAACTTTCTAGAACACTTTTCTGTTTTCTCTTGTAGGTCTGAGTCTTCTAGAGGGGCAGTCTCGGGCCATCACTTGGGAACAGTTTCAGATTGTCGACAATGATGACATCCATGCTGTCCAGCTGGTCACCGTGGGCGGCCTGCAGCATGGACGGCTTACACTAAGAGGTGAAAGATCAGTCTCTCTGACCTAGAAGAGAACCTGAGAAGTATTTTCTCCAAAGGCAGATCATATTTGACAGGATGTACATAGCATCTCTTGGGCCTTGTAGAAGGAGTTTGGAAGTTTTCCTTCCATTTCTAATTTTTGGAACAATTGTTAGATCTTCTTGGATAGAGCCCGTACTTATGGTATAGTGCCCTTCTTCATCTCTGTTTACAGTCTTTGGTTTAAAATCTAGTTTGTCTGTTGTAAGTATGGCTACTCTGGCTTTCTTTTGACATCCATTAGCATGATAGATGGTTCTCCAAGCTCTCACTTTCAATCTGCAGGTGTCTTTAGGTCTAAAATGAGTCTCGGGGCACCCGAGTGGCTCAGTTGTTGTGTCTGCCTTCGGCTCAGGTCATGATCCCAGGGTCCTGGGATCCAGCCCCGCGTCGGGCTCCCCGCTCGGCGGGAAGCCTGCTTCTCCCTCTCCCACTCCCCCTGCTTGTGTTCCCTTTCTCGCTGTGTCTCTCTCTGTCAAATAAATAAATAAAATCT